TATGTGAAAGTCTTTACGATTACCAGGTGTGATACGAAACCCTGTTGCAATACAGATATGATAAAAACATAAGCTACATTTTTAAATGCGAGGTAGGCATCAAAAGACTTATGTTTGGAACACTATACTTTCACTGATGTTATCATAGCAACCAAATGTTTGATTTTAGTTAAAAAAAGGAGCAAGGACTGATTTAATAGGGCAAGTAGCTTCCAATTTATCTGACATATATATTAATATCAAATTTAACAATACTTGTCAATGAATAACGTCTAAACTAATTTAAGTGAGTGAAACAATGTTGGGTATGAAAATTCAACATTTAATTTTTCATATGCACCCAATAATACTTCATACAACTAAAATGTTTTAATAGCATTACTAGGCATATGTACGTCTGGCCTTTAGAATGTAAGCCAACTCCTGGAAAGCATCGCTACCAATTTGCTAATGTATTGCGTATAGTTCTTGGCAAATTTCAATATCCTACAAGTCAAAATTAACACCATAATCAGTAGAACCTGATAGTTCTAGTATATTAATCAACATTTTTGTCTTCCAGTACAAGTGTCTACATGTTTCTGTGGTTGCACATTGTGTAAATTCCAGTGAATACAATGCGATCAAGTTTCGCTTGAAGAACATCCCTTACACAAAATTGCAAGCATGATCTGCATGAATAGGGTTTGACATATCAATCGTCCACGACCTCTCAAATCCTTCAACGTATTCATCCACCAATTTGTTCCTAGTTGCTTTAAATATCCCACCGACGTTCAATACGCTGATTTGCGGTGCTTTTACCGTACATCAAGCCATGGAATCAGTATGATCGCTCCTGAAGAACGGCTGAAGAATACTTATTTTGGAATTTTCTGTTCCACGGTACGCACGCATAATTCTTGGAATTTACCTATGACTTGCTATTGTGTCAAGGTAATGCTTTGCTATCAATTTTGGATTATTATTAGTACGTCCAACTTCTAACCACATGACTCTTCTACTGTATCCATCAATCACTCCGTGGATACACAGACCAAAGGTGTTAATTTGTCATAACCATCGGTATGCCACACATAGTTGAGGCCTTGAACAAGGTACTTTCTGCGCTTTCATTAAACACCCTCTGGCAACACCATGGCATCATGTTTTTTCACTTTGAAATGATAATATTGTTGCAGACGTTTTCACATACCGTGTTATCACAAGCCGTCTCCGCTAAACTGTAATTCTTTTCTACTGTACTTATACGATTTCTTGTGGAATATGCATGTCACAGTGACGCCCTTAAATATTACAATGAAGTATCCTATTTAACTGACGAAGACCAAGACGTACGTTTTGCCGACAAAAGAGAAGAAAGACAATTTCTGCGTACTTGAAGTCAGCATGAAAGTACTGGGTAATCATTTCTACCCTGGTGCTTCCGTTTCCAGATTGCAATGGGGATGACCCAACTGTTGATACAGGGGTCACTTTAAATAAAACGAGAAGGCAAACATCATGTCTATGTTTACGATCTTAAAAAAATAGAAATAAATGTAATATAGCGTTATAAAAACAAAGGGCTGGGCTATAAATTTGTGATATTGTTATTCCACCACCAGCAACTAAACATTATCGTTAGACAAACCTAACCCCTTGACTAGCAGGGGTTTCTGTCAGTTTTAACGCTTCAGCCAGAACAAAATATACATGTATTGATACACTTTCTCAACCGCTGCTTTTGACACCATGTAATCACTAAAATGTAAAGCTGCACTGTATCTGGCTTGCGTCTTTGATAAAACTAACATATCATAATCGTTTCAACTGTAACATAAGTAAGTAGCATCTATAATAGTTATAACAATCGAGATACGAGGGGAAGTCAGAAAATATCCGGACTTTTGACTCGTTCTCGAAAACCATTCAAGATTTTAAAAAAATCTTTCTACTCTTTTTCAAAATATTCTCCACCTACGTCTACGCACTTTTGCCATCTTCGTGGGAGCTTTTGTATTCCCGCTGTGAACCATGACGTAGACCTATGTTTTAGGTTCTGTGTGACAGCAGATATCAAAGCCGCCCTGGTCTTATATTTCTTTCCAGCAAGCATTTTTTTCAGTTCTGGAAACAAATAAAAGTCAGGGGCGAAGTCTGGGCTATAAGGAGGGTGTGACAACAATTGCTATTTGTAAGAGTTGATAACCTCCACTGTAGCTGCGGCGGTATGGGAAGGGGCGTTATCGTGAAGAAGGATGACATTTTTCTGTGCTAACCTGGGACGCATTTGCTTCAGCTTTTCTCTGAGATTTTTCAGAATTACTTCAGAATAGTACTTAGCGGTGACAGTTTGACCTTTTGGCATGAAATGAGTAAGTATCATTCCTCGTGAATCCCAAAAGGCAACAAGCATGACAGCTTAAACTTTTTAGGAGGTGGGGAACCAACTCGTTTCCACTGCTTTGACTGAGCTTTTGTCTCAGGTTCGGAATAATGAACCCACATCTCATCTCCAGTGATAATGCGGTTCAAAACTTACCTCCTTCACGATTAAAACGACTTAAATGTTCTTTTGCATTGGGTACTCTGGTTGCCTTTTGATCTGCGGACAGCTGCCTAGGCACCCACCTGGCACTTACCTTGCTCATGCCTAGGTGTTTGTGTAAAATCTTGTGTGCCGATGCCTTTCCGATGCTAAACTTGTTGGCTACCTCCTTCAAAGTTACTCGACGATTTTTGTTGACAAAAGCTTTAACATTTGCTACCATTGTTGGGGTCACCGCCTCAGCTGGCCGCCCAGTCCTAGGCCTGTCACAAATACTTGTTCTGCCTTCACGAAACTGAGAAACCCAGTTGTAGAAGGTTGAACGTAATACACATTATCAGAAAATCTTTTTTAAGCCTCTGAAAGATGTGGCAGGGCTTTTCACCTTCTGCAACCAGAAACTTTATTACAGAGCATTGTTCCTCTAACAAAGAGTCCATGATAGACGAAACACCTATCATATATCAGAGGGCAAAATACTGTGTATACACAACTATCATTGAAAATAAACTGACCACGTTATTGGCGAATGTATGCAGTTTTCACCAAATTTATAATATGTGTATATTGCTCCACGTGGAAAGAGAGGAGCATAAAAAGTCCGGATATTTTCTGACCGTCCCTCGTATAATATTTTGCGGTATGTTTACTGTATATATAAAAAATGGCAATTACCTGTAAAGAGCTACATCGAATTTGCCAGTTTTTCTCCGTGTAACAACCTTTTGCAAGACACCGTTGAAATCAAATACCCGAGTCTTATGTATTCTACTCTTGGATATTAAGAATTAAATTTTGAATATTAAGAATTAAATAATAAGTTTTAAGTTTTAGATATCAATTTTAAATGTCCCTCCAGGGCTTCCATAGATAAGAGATCGAATGTCTCACAATTAGATCAGTTTTGTTTCGGATATTTAAATATGTACATACTTGAACAGTGGCATTATCTGTATCAGGGTTATCTAGGTTGCCAAGGGTATTAAGATTATGGTTGAAATTGTTAAGACTTTGAAATAGCTTTTTTCTATATATATCAAAATTTGGGGATTCAAAAAATAGTGGAAATCAGTTTTCATTTTTCTGCACTCACATAACGGTGTAGGAGATACATGTATGTGGTAGTTTAAGTAGCTGCATTTTGTGCGTAATCTTGCGTGTAGTATTTGAAGTAACCATAAAACAATCAAAAATGACTAAGGTTAGATTGCTTGTTATAGCGTAGATAACATTCTAACATTGAACATGTTGGCAAATTTAATATTGTTAGGGGTAAATGTTATCATAGCTAAACTACCGACAAATATTAAAAAAAACACTCAATCGTAGATTCGTACAAATTGTCTTATTCATGGTACAAAGATATGTATATTCTATCAAGGAAGTGACTTTAACATACAGTAGAATCCCTACAAGGGACCACCTCAGAATTAAGACCACCCCGCTATTGAGACCAGTTTTCAAAAGAACAGAATTTTCTGTTCTTTATGTCAATGGTTACATGATCCAGAATTAAGACCAACTCGCTTATCCACATGTAATACCACAAAATTCAGTCCCAATTCTTTGTTTTGTTCTTTATTAGACCTCACTATTGAGAGCACTGATATTAAAATCAACACCTACCTAGATCTTAAATTTGTTGTTATGGTGTTATTATCTGCTTTAATGCCCCTATATGCATGGCACTTGATTTCACAAGGTGTCAAAAACTGTTGTTATTGGGTTATTGTATGAAACAATGTGAGAAAGATGATTTTAGAGTGGTTTAAATTTGCTTTAAGCGAAGAAATAATGTCATATATGATTTGTGAATCATACAATAATCAATATTGAAATTAGAACAAAGAGAATTTGATATTAAATTTCTTCAGAAATGTATATGCTTCCCATCAGATGTAACATTATAACAAACTTTTATATGCTATTTGCAGGTTAAGATACATATTGTTTGTTAAGACAAAATGACTAAAATAGACCATAAGCAATTATAAGAATATCCACAATTAAGACCACCCCCGCAATTAAGACCACTTTGGCCCAGTCCCGATGGTGGTCTTAATTGAGGGTTTTTACTGTATCACATTACATTGTGAATCGATTAAAAATCTAACATAAAGAACACACTGTAAAGGTATCTTTCGTTCGATTTGTCTAACACGTACACTAAAGTTTTAAAGCTGTCTACAATTTCTTTGTTGAGTTATTTACTTCTCAAAAGGTTAAATCGTCTTCTCTCTTTTAATTCAGTCAAAACATTCGGTATGAATATCTTCTGATTATTGAGTATAATAAGGAAATATTGAATTCAAATAAAATCAAACATTATGGATCCAATAACCACTAACTGACAAGTTACATCGTAAATCAGAAACGTTTAAATAATTAAAATGTACTACACGTACATTCATTTTTGTGATAGTATAAGGCATAGATAATGCCTGTGAATGCCTGTAAATTTGATTGGTGAGTTTAATAAACACACAAAGCTGATAAGAGGAAGAAATAAATGATTATAGTTGATACGTCTGTATTATCATGAAGTTCAATCAAATATCATTTAGTTTGAATATAAAGTATTCATAAATATATACATGTATATATATTGTATCACAATGCTGAAAAATCAAATCAACATGCTTATTGGAGTAATTAAGATGATATAAACGGAATATACATGTATGTAAGTAAATGCAAGTTTGTCGCCAAAATGCAGTTTCAAATCGAAGAAGTAAGTTACAGCATTGGAAGATTCTTTGACTTATACCAAAATAAACTCCCTGTGGTAGTTATGGTAACACAGGGTTTTTATGGAGAAATTATCGAGGACACCTTCGATCGAGAACAGGTGTGTTTTATTACTTTGTTTTAATTTTTATCCTTTAATTTATCTTTTTATCTTTTTATGTATCTTACGTTCTCGATTACTCGTTTTGAATCCGCATATTAGAAGAAAAATGGATTTTTTGATGGCAATACTATTATCCCCCGCCGAAAAGCGACGGGGGATATAGAAATAGTCTTCGTCCGTCCTTCCGTCCGTCCGTCCTTCCATCCGACATTTTTGTCCGGAGCATATCTCAAAAAGTATTTGAGGTATCAACTTGAAACTTCATAGGTAAATAGACCTCATTGAGAACTAGTGCAGTGCACAAGAATAATAACTCTACCCTGCATAATTTTTGAGTTATTGCCCCTTGTTATTTTTCAAAATTAATGTTTGTCCAGAGCATAACTCAAAACGTCTTTGAGATATCAACATGAAACTTCATAGGTGCATATATCTCACTCAGGAGGTGTGCAGTGAATAAGAATAATAACTCTACCTTTCATAATTTTTTAACTATTGCCCTTTGTTTGTTTTTTTTTTCATACTTAATTTTTCACCTGAGTGGAGCATAACTAAAAAAGTGTTTGAGATGTCAACATGAAATGTCATAGGTGGATTGATCTTATTGAGGAGGAATGCTGTGCGCAAGAATGATAACTCTTCCCTATATAATTTTTGAGTTATGGCCCTTTGTTCTTTTTCATACTATTTTTTTCAGGAGCTTATCCCAAAAAGTATTTGAAGTATCAACTTGAAATTCATAGGGGGATGGATCTCAATGAGGAGGAGTGCAGTGCACAAGAATGATAACTACCCTGCATAATTTTTGAGTTATTGCCCTTTGTTAAATTTCAAAATTAATTTTTGTCCAGAGCATTACTCAAAAGGCCGTTGAGATATCAACATGAAACTTCATAGGTGCATAGATCTCACTCAGGAGGTGTGCAGTGCACAAGAATGATAACTCTACCTTTCATAATTTTTTGAGTTATTGCCCTTTGTTATTCTTCATACTTAATTTTTTACCTGAGTGGCGGGGCGTCCGTGGCCGACTGGTTGAGGTCGTTGACTTCAAATCACTTGCTCCTCACCGCTGTGGGTTCGAATCCCGAAAGGGACTTTGGATTCTTTCATTTGAGGAAGCTATCCAGCTAGCTTACGGAACGTCGGTGGTTCTACTCAGGTGCTCGTTCGTGCCTGAAATATGCAGGGAAGGGCACCTGAGGTCTTCCTCTACCAGTAAAGCTGGAACGTCGCGATATGACCTATACTGTGTCGATGTGAAGTTAAACCCACAACAAACAAAAAAAACAAACCTGAGTGGAGCATAACTCAAAAGTGTTTGAGATGTCAACATGAAATGTCATAGGTGGATAGATCTTATTGAGGAGGAATGCTGTGCGCAAGAATGATAACTCTTCCCTATATAATTTTTGAGTTATTGCTTTTTGTTCTTTTTCATACTATTTTGTCGGGAGCTTATCTCAAAAGTATTTGAAGTATCAACTTAAAACTTCATTGGTGGATAGATTTTACTGAGGAGGGGTGCAGCACACAAGAATGATAACCTGCCCTGCATTATTTTTCAGTTATTGCCCTTTGTTATTTTCAGCCATCAGTATTCACATATGTTTCAAATCTGTAATCACTTCAGCCATCAGTTTTCATTACCAAAAGACCTCTTAAAATTGAATTATCCTGCTCTACTACATATACATTCACATATTCGGCGGGGGATGGCCATGTTGACATGGCTCTTGTTACTAGTTATAAAGACTGAATACTACTTAAGTCGATGCTAAAAAAAATCAGATTTATTACTTTATTCAGTGTCCATCATGACAAATCTCAATGGTATAAATATTGTCATGTTTTGGACATTTCATTCTAGTGATTTCAGTGTTAAGAAAAGAAAACTGCTTTAGTCTATGCATGTTGCAAATCTCGTAGTGTCATAAATAAACAGATTAAGTGAACACTCTGTCATATTCGTACTATGTGTACCATTCTTATACTAAAATATATCTTTTTATAATAACAACACGTTCAACAATGTGCTTTTTGAAGTCACAAAGTAACGATTACACAAATTAATAAACGCATAACACCGTGATTACAAGCAAGTTTATACTTATGAATGTAAAACAAAACAAAAAAACAGATGCGTGTTATTGAAAGCAAGCTATGTAAAATCATGAATATATTTTTAAGAAATGCACATTTCTATACCACGACTAACACAAAAAAGAGGAATTGCTCCTTATTTGCCATATAATTCCTGTCATTGACGGCATGACAGTCGTGTACTTTTTTGTCATTAGATATGACAATTTTATATGACATTTATCTTTTTTAAATTCATAACAAAGAAGTATGTTAGAAATCATATATAAATAAAAATTAAAGTGCATAAAGATAAAACTTTTTAAGTTTAACATTAAAGTAAAAATAAAATATATCAGATAAAGATTAAACATAGTCATAAGTTTCTAATGTTTCACATCATTGTGGGTTTCTATGATTTCCTGTTTTATTATAACATCCCGTCAGCTTTTTACCCGTGTGTCCAGTCCTTTTTGGTTTCCTGCTTAGCCCCCTCCCTTGCCGGTTGTCTTTTATTTAAGATGCATTCATTGAATGCCTCGCTTCCTTGTTGATCTATTTTATTCAAATTTTGTATTGTTTATATTAGGTAATGTTGATAAACGCGGTATCTAGACAGGAGCGTGTGGTTGCAGAATGCACATGGCAGGGTATGCAAAAATTGTTGAGTATCCCCGATGACTACACTGAAAAATTATGCGTGATTAAAAATGGGATAGGTAAAATATCAGTTTTGAAAAATAATATTTAAGTAAGATAAAGATTATGAAGACAATTTTGCTATATTGAAAATATTTATTTCGTCCTGAATACGAAAATTTCTACAGGCAACACATATTTTAATAATAAAATAATTGACTGATGGCTAAATATATTTGTTTTGTTTTTTAATGATACTATATTATGCTGTATTAAATATCTAATAAAGCATGCTGCCGTAAGCTTGCAGTTGTTATGTATTTTTGTAACACAAGGGTTAATTGTCGAATTTTATTTTGTATAAGGACGATTTCTGACTACTTATTGCCATATGATAAAAATGATATAATGTCTTTTACATATACCGTAGTATCACCTTAAAAGTGGTCTGGAATTCTAAATTTTTATCTTACTTACCAAATGCTTATGATTTATTTCATAATACCTTCAAATACTCTTTTGATAATATTTTTTTATAAAATAAACATGTATGATTGCATTTACATTTTAAATTGGAACATGCATCTTTTTTTTTAAGCTGGAGCAGAGTCTTCACTTTACAACATACTACGATCTAACAGCTTGCCATTATGGGTACAGTTCCCAGCTGACCGTGTGCTTACAGTTTGTAACAAGAGCATCAATACAAACCGTGTTCCTGCCTGGAAACTAACAAAACGTTTTGACGAAGTCTATTTACTTGCAAACACTATCATAGACGGTAGGAGTTTAACGTATTGAATATATGAATGTGTATGCATTTAGGTACAAATGTAGAAACAATGTTGAAGGGATACACAGGCAAAAGTTTCATTTCTTTCATTCATTGTTCTGTAAATGACCTCAAACTGAATTCACGAGGCAGTCACAGGAACAAAACTTTAAAAAATAATAAAATGGTTGTTTCCTAACTTGACCATCGTAGGTAAGATTTCATAATAGTTGTTACAGTGAACTCTGGAAAGGTAAAATAACATGTCAAATGAATTACTTACTAGTATACTTGTTTCGATCATACAATATCCACAATATCTGTTATTGTAACTTCCAGGTCTGTTCACGTCATGTGACTTGTTTTAATACTACTCGGTGATGCTGTCGACGCCTAAATTTTTTTCAACATATATGGATATATTTAAGCTTCAAACCAAAAATATATAGAAATACATAAATTCATGCTGGGACTTTACAAAATATCATTTTAGCGTGGGTGGTTTGAGTATATAATATCATTTTAAATTTTTTTTATTATCAATTTGCCTGAGTATCCCCTTAAGTATCTTATTGAAATGTTGTAACAGATTGCAATATTCTGACAAGGATGTTTCTATATCTTGCTAGTTGATGGATTTTCAAGATTGATTACAACATAATCGCTAAATCATATATACAATCAAAGGGCATATATGTAAAAATAAACTTAAGTTTCACTGATGAAATATTCATGATTATTTTAATATACGTTTTGTCTCTTATAACTTTTTGTTATTTTCTGTACTAGACGAAAAACTAATAAGACAGTTTTTGTTTACAGGATGAAACTGCCTTAGTCTTACCCATATATTTTCCGACAATATTGACAGAGTGAAAAGCAATTTCATTCGAGAATTAGATCAAATGTAACAAAAGTGCAAATATTTACACGACATTTTACTTCGTTTTTTATCATTACCGTATCTGATTACAAAGAGTAACTAAATTGTATATTGCAGGTCAAGTTTGTACAGATGTGACTCATGTACCTTTATACCTGTCAAAACTTAGACTCTCGTTGGTAACTGGGCTCAAAGGTCAATCTTTTGATAGATGGAGGGTGTACTTCGACAATTTGCTTTACAAATGCTCATCTATTGAATATGATCAGCATTTTGGAAATCCTAGTCCGTATTACAACTTAAAAACATACTTTTTTAAATTCACTTCAAAACTTTTCTATCAGAGTCACAGTTAACATTATGTAATGCAATTAACAGTGTATAAACATATTGAAAATTTGCAGTCAAATGAAAGGTGTGATAACGGACAACAAAACCAATCTGTTTAATTTACAAGAACGTAATTTTATTTACTTTAATTTAACCAAGTATGCCAACAATTTTATGAAATACTTATTTTATTCGCTGCAATAATTTGTAAATTATAGATATGTTATTAAAAGCGTTCAAAGACGAGGTTGATCTGTGTAGATCGGAAAGACGAGTATTTTTGTATTTTTTTTCTGTGTGATGTCTCTACATTTTTAAAAGTGCATTGTTTTCCTTGATGTAGAAATATGTTGTAGTCCTTCTGCAAACATCAGATAGTTTTACTATCCTTCTCATTTCATCGTTTTCTTTTTATTGTTAGATATTGCGGAATATGACCCGTCAACTATACATTTCACTACGAAGATGTCATACTCTGAACCTAAATCGTATTCAAGCATCATAAGCTTAGTTGAAGGGCAACCTTTAAAATCCCGTCCACATCTTTATGTTCCACTAGGAAGTGATCGAAAGCAAGATAAAGATACCAAATTTTCCACTAAAGCAAGACCTTTACCACCTTTACCGGAGGATGTACCTACATTTAATCCGAAGATAAAAAGAGATTTGGATACAACAGAATTATCCGAAAAAGTGAGCAATATGTACATTACACCTACATACAAAATACAGTCAGATTTAAACAAATCGTCTTATTTTGATGTTCCGCAAAAATCGTCTCTCGAACCACTTTATGATCGGAGAGAAGAAAAAGACGAAATTAAATCGGCCGTTGGCAAGGCACCAACGCCTGGACCAAAATTTGGTTTTCCTCAATCTGCTCAATTCACACATATTCCAACACCAGATTATCCTGATGAAAAACGAAGTGGTAGCGCACAGCATTTGTCCAGTCAGAAAACGGAGATTTATCCAAAATATAACAACGATATTCCTAGAGCAACATTAACACCAACAATTGTCAGTCACGAAACATATCCACAGGAACCACCTCAAGTTCCCACATCAGAACGAGCTAACAGAACATTGAAATACGGACATTCTAAGAATGCAGTTATGAATGTTGAAAGTCTTTCTATTCATGATGTTACTGAATATTTGAAAATTCTGAACCTCGGTCAATATGCTGAGACGTTTAGAAACAATATGATTGATGGTATGATACTGATAGGTCTCACTGAGAAAATGTTACGAGAAGACTTTGGCATGAATGGAGTAGAGGCCTTTAGACTTTTGAAGTTTGCAAGAGAAGGATATATACCCACTTGAAAAATATAAAACGAATACAATACAAGATTTGCAGTCAAATAAAAAAAGTGTATGTCAGACCCAGATTGGCAAATTTATTAAACTTGGTTTCCAAATACTGCGAAACAATTTGGAATAAAAGTTTGATTTAAAAGCCCGGATATTACCTGCGGAATCGAAAACTTCACAAAAATCTAACGTAGACAAACATACATGTATACAATTGAGCAAGGTAAAAATATGAACATCAAACCTTGTCAATAATAATAGTAGCTATTATTTCACATCGAATTATCTCTCTTTGCTTTAAGCTTTAACACTTTAAAATGAAAACTAGAATTAAATTCATTTATTAGTTAACAGATAATCTGAATTTTAGTTAATGTGAATGTTTCTTATCTACATAGAGGTAGCAGGAACTAGTCTAAAACAAGATAAAATGTAGATCTTAATAATTTTGAGCAATTGAATTTTATGAGAACAGTCAAAAATATAAAGGCAATGATGCTCGAAATATGTTTGCTTTATTTACGTTCATAGTTGTCCTGAAAATTATTTTTTTAGTTTAATAATAGCGAACGCCAACTTAAGTTCAGAGAAATTTATTACATACTTTAGTGTTATTTTTATCAATATGGAAAAAAGGTAATTGAGCCATCAAAGAATGTTTAGACTGCTACAAATACATCGTTAACACTTATTTTAGAGCAATTATTTTTATTTTACGCGTTCTTAAATTGAATCAGAATATCATTTTTATCATGATAATATATCTTTTGTTTTTTTCCAACTTTAAAGAAGTTTGATTACATTATGTCATCTATATGTTTTCTATGTTGTCTGGATTATAGGAATACAAATTACGCATATATGTGATGTATGTGTACGTCATTTTTCAAGTGACTTATATTTTGTTTCATTTTTTCTGTAAAAAAAGTATTTCATTTATCGTAAACATTTTACAAACGCATGTTGTTGTTTTTCATGAACAACGTGAAATAAATGAATACTGCTGACACCGAAGAAAATATAATTGCGACTAATAAATATAGTGACTTTATTTTTTTATTGGTTTTTTTTAGACATCAAACTAATCTCTAAAGCATATTACATGCAAATTGTTAATAAAGACCAAAACAAGTGAATGTCACTATATAGCAATTGATTCATACATATAAAATCTAATGTTTGTTGGAGTATTTGGACAAAACTTAACTGTGGAAAAGGGAATGTTGCTGCAATAACCTTTAATGTAGCATTTAAATTTCTTAGATGGAAATTGCGCTTGAACCAATCATCGTGTAAAAACGATGTTTATATTGGCAGCAGGTCGATCCGGCAGCATTTTCATGAAGAATATTCAAAGAAAGTTTTCACTGAAAAGTTTTTTGTTTTTCCCTCTATTGCAGTTCCATTAAATTTATTGCAATTACGAGCACAGTTGCACGCATAAAGAAAAGGTGAATAAAATCATTTATGAAATCAAACGGCCTAAAAATATGAAGTTTGAAAATCTTAGATCTACTGAGACACTTAAAACGGATCCACATGAAAAGGAGAAAATAGTATATACTTACAATACAATTAAAAGTCAATAATACGGTGCGGTTTGTAGCCCTATTTGAGTAAAAAGCGCCTCAACGTTTTTCATATTTTAAGCAGCACGCCTCCAGATCTATTCATGTTAATTTTCATGAAAATTTTAAAAATGTATTTGAATGTGTAATATTGTGAAGTTACCAAAAGGAAGCAATTTACACATTATCAATGGCACTTACAATAGATAAATACAGAATCCCTAAAGAAAGCCCAAAACGGCAAAATTGAAAATGTTGCAGGCTCGGTTTGATTGAGCCTGCTCATGGACGGTACTGGAAAATGCAAGTTACCGTCCACGCCCCCTAGCACCGGCTTAAGCAGAATTCAACATTTATACGTGAAATAGTAAAATTTTGAATTTATAAACATCCGCAGATGTGTTCATATGGCGGTTATCATGGAACCTTCAATGTGACACAGAAGTGCCATTCCATGATAAGCGGCTTATGGTCCCCATGTAATAAAAAGCGTGTGCCCTAAACGAGAAAACAATGGGCGGAACTAAATATAATGGAATTTTGAAAGGGGATCAGAGGTTATGAAGCCTGCGTATCACAGATAAGACGTCAAAAGACAAATTTAAAAAGCAGGCAACATATCCTAAGGGTGATTCAACATTATTCAAGAAGGAATATTGGAACCACCCAACTAGAAAATGCCGAAAGTTGCAACTAAAAATACCACAAGCACAACAATAATGTCGTGCTGAACGATCTTCAAGGATCGAAAATATAACATCATTGATTAAATGTACGGGGAGACTTTTTACAGCCGCCACACGGCACAAATAACACGGATGTGATCATATAATAGATAAATACTGAATCCCTAAAGAAAGCCCAAAACGGCAAAATTGAAAATGTTGCAGGCTCGGTTTGATTGAGCCTGTTCATGGACGGTACTGGAAAATGCAAGTTACCGTCCACGCCCCCTAGCACCGGCTTAAGCAGAATTCAACATTTATACGTGAAATAGTAAAATTTTGAATTTATAAACATCCGCAGATGTGTTCATACGGCGGTTATCATGGAACCTTCAATGTGACACAGAAGTGACATTCCATGATAAGCGAACCACGTAAATTACCAAAAAGTGGTCAAACTATGCATCAATAGCCTTTACCGCGTTAGTAACGCAGAAGAATTTTAGTAATAAATACTGAAAAATCAGTCATTAATCGCCCATTATATGTAAAATATTACATGAAACTTGAAACCTTTTACTTTTCCTTACATCTTAGTTCATTTTTCTCAAATTTGATTGTATTAAGATATTTTGATTCATCTGGCGGCATGTAGTTTTAACTCCTTTTTCACATTGAAAATCATTTTTAAAATAAACTGGAATGAGCAAATGATCTTGAATCTAGTTATCACATAAGAAAGTTCAGACCTATCAAATAAAATTAAACTCTCGGAAAATATTTCCAGCCTCGCTATGTTTAAAACCTCAGTTTGATGTGTAGATATATGTATATATATTTTTGCTGTGTTTTCCTTGGTAGTGCTTCAAGTGCATTTAATAACAACCTGCATTACCATATTCTTATCATGTATATATTCGTTTTTTTTTCTTTTTATTGAAAGAATAAACAGTTACATTTTTGTGTTTCTATGATTCACAATAGATTACATTGTTATATATATAATTCCATAATTTACGATGTCAACACTTCAGACCTTACAAGAGCTTGTCTACTAACAAAAGCGTAGAACCATATTAATGTCCCCATTTCAGTTATCTAAATATTTATATCTGACCAAGGAAGTACATAACTCACCATTTATTCACATTGATTTCAATTCTTATATCTGTAAGTGGTATGAAGTTATGGTCACCTTGTCTTCTATCCCATTGCGGATATTATGTAAACTATGAAATGCTCACACAAACATTCATAGGTTCGAAACACGATCATTTATAAAAATTATTTGACAATGTAGACTTCTTTAAAATAAAAATAAAAGTCGATTTAGTAGATTTTAAATAAAAAGTTTTAAAAAGTCAGATTTTGTTAAAAACAAAACATTTTTGTTTAAAATACCACTAGCTAACAAGTTTAAGTTAAAATCGGAAGCACATACGTATAAGATCTATTTTTAACAAATTTGAGAAGAAAGTGTATAACATAGATAAAACTTGCAAATATTTTCATCTCTGCGTAACAGAAAAAAACATGATTATATATTAAACATCAATATTGAAATAATGTCGATTGAATTTGGAAGGTATTTTTACCAATATATCGATATTGTATCACAATGTTAATTTGAGTAATTGAAATAGAATAAATGGAATATATGTAAATATCACACGCCGAAATGCAGTTTCAAACCGAAGATGTAAGTTATAGCATTGGAAGATTCTTTGACTTATACCAAAATAAACTTCCTGTGGTTGTTATGGTAACACAAGGTTTCTTTGGAAACATTATAGAGGACACTTTCGATCGAGAACAGGTATCAATAGTAAATTTATTTCTTTTCTTTTTCATCCTTTCCTTTAATTTCCCTTCTGGTTTACTCTCTGCGAAATAATAGAATAAAACTATTATTATTTGAAACAAGTATATAAACAGGTATATGTTACAATTAACAATATATACAAAATATTAAAATAATATTAAAAACAGGATAAGACTTGATAACAAAGTTTTGCAAAATTTATTCTCCCAAAGGGATTATTAATGGCAATAAATATAAAAGAATTAATACTGCTAAACTTGCTAGAGTCACATGGATGTTATTACTCTCTTTGTCCCTCTTGAAAAGTCCCAATAAAACGTGACACACTTTACTTCTTGAGTTATTTGTTTTGTTTGGTTTCACTTCGAACAACACATTTTAGGCGCCGAAACATGAAAGATAATTTTACCTTATCCCCGGGGGTTACAAACTTAAAGCCACACCTTAGATTAAAACTACTTCACCTATCCTGCTTGGACCTAATCGATGCATAGACTCAACAAATTCGAACACATTTAATCAGCTCTTAGGATCACACAAAGATAAACGATGGCTTTAATTCTGATGCTTTAACCCTAAAAGGCAACCCGCCAGACTTCCGTTTCTGTTTCTTTCCCCTCTAAAAATTTAAGTTATTTTTGTTATATTTTACTCCTTAAAACACATTACTCCTTAAAAACATAGCCTCTTCAAACATAGCCTCAGGATATTTACTCTCTATAAATATAACCGCATTGCACAGCTCTCTGTGAATATAGCCTAATGACAGTATTCTATAAACTAAGCCTCATAACATTATTCTCTATAGAAAAATAACCACATTACAGAACTCTCTTTAAATCTAGCCTCATAACATCACACTCTATAAACATAGCCTCAATAAATTACCCTCTTGAAACATAGCCTCATTAAATTTCTCTCTATAAAAATAACCACATAACATTACTATCTATAAACATAGCCTAAGGACATTACTCCCTATAAACATAACCTCGTTTCATTACTCTCAATAAACATAGCCTCATTACATTACTCTCTATATACATAGCATTAAAACATTTCTCTTTAAACATAGACTTATTACAGTGCTCTCTATAAAAATAGCCCAACTACATTATTCCCTATAAACATAACTACATTACATTACTCCCTATAAACAAATCCACATTATATACCTCTCATCCGAATTTATAATTATTTCGTTTACAACAGGTGATGATTATCAATGGAATATCAAGACAGAAGCGTGTATTGGCCAAGTGGGTGGTGCAGGGTATACCAAAATTGTTAAGTATTCCCGAAGACTACACTGAAAAAATGTGCAGGATTAAAAGTGGGATAGGTAACAACAAATTACTTTAGTTAATTTAAGTGATGATTGGGAATACAATTCTTTAATGCTTTTTTTCAAATATATTACTCTTTGCTGTAGTATTTATCAATTCTTTTAATATAGTAAGTTCCTAAATCGTGCGGAAGTGTCCAAATTTACCAATGTAATTATTCATGTGTTAATTTAAGTAAATACCTAGATCCGATTAAATTATCTATATGTATGCAAGTGTTAAAGTTGCTAAATCTCTATGTTAAACGCGTATACTGAACATGTTTAAATACTGTGCATTCCCGGAACTATACTGTATTTGCTATATAACGCTTTTAAGTGTTGTTAATGTATCGTAAGTTAAGTTAATGAATTAATGAGTGCCTTGGAGTGTGACTGTATTTTGTGTTTAATGTAGTTTGTGTTTCTAAGTGCCGTAATTTCCTTGTGATTTGTTTAAACGTGTGATTTGTAAATACGTATATCTGATGAAACAGTGCGTGTGAGATGAACAATTAAATTGGTTAAATATTACGTTGATTAATAAACTCAGTAAAGTAAGAGATATAGCTCTATGGAACAGCTCTGTGAATCTAAGTGTTTAAGAACGCTAATTATTATACTTAAGTTTACAGTGATATTAACTGACAATTTATATTAGATCTACGTAATACATGTAATGTTATATTTTGCTAAATGTTAGTTACTTGAATCTTCTTGTCTTGTATGTATTACTCTATGTGGTTAAACAGTTAAAGTTAATAAAAGTTGTTTAAGTGTTCATACGCCTCAATTGTAATTTAACCCCCAGACGAACTCGTGTGGCACTTCTTGTGTAGTAAACAGGCCAACGTTACACAAGAGGGACGTCACATGTATAATGTTACAGCTTATGACAAATTTTGTACCATAAGTTTTATGTGTTGTTTTTCTTTCTTGCTTCATAGCGTTAAGTACCGTGAACTAAGAGGATCACAATATACATTTAAGGAATATCAATGACCACCTGGGCAGGGTCAATTTTGTCCCAAGGGCTTTCATTTGAACAAACTTAATAGACACCCAGTAGAAGATGTTCTAATCTTTAGGCTGCTTTTTGGGTTTTTAATAGAATGCTCTTTAAGGTTTTACTATATACACATCAGGAAAATGGGTCAGAGACAGAAATGGCCGAGTTGCATTTGTAGACCAAATATCATGAGGCTGTGATGTTATGAAATGTTCTACCATTCGAAAATTTGTCGAATTTTTAACTAAGTTGGTAAACAGAAAGTTGATGAGCGAAAGACCTGAAATTGAAAACCACAATATGGGACCACATGTGTATGCTGTATACCAAATATCAAGAGTAGTTGCTAAAAAAAAACTTACGAAAATTTCCTACCATTGACCATTTATGTTGAAAATTTAACTAAATCAGTAAGCAGGAAGTAGATGAGCGACATACCCACTGAGAGTATAGGACCATGTAAATGCTGTTTACCAAATATCAAAATGCTTTGATAAGAAGCTGTCGAAAATTTCCTACTATTCACCATTTATGTTGAAAGTTTAACTTAAAGTCAGTAAACAGAAAGTGGATGATTTTAGGACTTTACACCTCCTGGACGTTAAGGCCATGGTCTTTACACCTCCTGGACGTTTCGGCCTTGCTCTTTACACCTCCTAGACGATTTGGCTACTTTTTATATAGTATTGTATACTGTAGGTATTAATCAACAACAACAACAACAACAACAACAATTTATTTCAGCATTAAGTAATATACATTTACTTCTAGCCTACAATAATATAATAATGTGTAGTGATAGGTCATATAAAGATTACAGTAAATGTTATTATTTAAACAAAGAAGCTTTTGATTAGTAACACGAGATTGTTGGTTCATTTTAAATAGATGATTACTACTGTTCTAATTCTGTTCTCCGTTTGTTAGCAAAATATAGATATTTTGATAAATTGATAATTTTTTTCTAAGTTTTGAGACATCATTAACTTATCAAATTTTTGCAATGTTGGCCATGTAAAATAATAAGGCTTCAAAAATGTGTGTCTTAAATCTATATATATCGGGCAAGTAAGTAGAAAATGGTATTCATTTTCAATGAGTAAAGAACGACAAAATTTGCAAGTTCTTTCTAATCTTGGAATATTATAGTATCTTCCCCTCTCAATTGCAAGATTGTGTGATGATAGACGAAATCTACTAAGAGCAATTTTGAAACGTCTTTCTAAACTGTAATAATCAAGATAAGGTTCGATCGAAAATGAATATTTTGTCCTACAATATGTTAAAAGTCTTTGAGAGTTATTTATTTCTGAAAACCAGGTTTGATGATATTGGTCTCATATTCTTTGTTTTATAAATTCAAAGACAGGAATATGTTGATATTTATGTAAATCGTTCCATATATCTGAAAGACCCAGTTTGTTTAATATTGTTTTAATTTGATATGCCCAGTTTTTGCCATTATAAGTTATATTGTTATCTGCATCTAGTTTTAGCATATTATACATTTGTTTTAATAGTTTGTTGTCTTCTAATTTTTGAATTTTTAACCAATACCGAATCATGTTTATTTGTCTTACAATTTTCATTGGTTCTCTACCAAGTTCTCCATATAGTCAGATTTGTTGATATATTAACAACTAGGATTTTTCTGCAAAATTTAGTGTGGATCTTTTCAATATCACTACCCTCAATATTTCCCCATACCTCCGAACAGTAATTAAGAATTGATGCTACTAATGAATAAAATAAGTTACATTTTTCACTAGTTTTGAATTCATATTAATGAAGAACAGCAAACAGTCTATAAAGTGCTTTCGATGCATGTTCTGCTATGCTTTTTTGTGTTCGTGACCAATTTCCATTTTTAAAAAGGTATATTCCCAAATATTTAAAAGACGTTACTATTTCAAGTTTTTTGCCATAAAGATGAAAATCAAAGTGTGTAGGTCTGCCCCTTTCGAAAATCATAACTTTGGTTTTAACTATGTTTATTTTAAGTCCAAAGGTATTACAGTATATTTCGATGTCCTTAAGCATGCTTTGTAAGGTGTCGGGATTTGTAGCAAATAATACTTGGTCATCAGCATATAAAATCAAAAATAGACTAAGCTCATTTAATCAAGGTCTGCATTTATATTACTCATTAGATCATTTACGAACATCATGAACAATACAGAAGAACTGGGGTCTCCCTGCTTTACGCCTTGATGAGAGTTTATAACATCATTATGTACTACCCCATTATATTTAATAGATGCTCGTACTACAGTGTACATTGCTTTTATAGCTTTTACCATTTTAGTACTTACATTTTCTGTTATAAGTTTTTGCCAAAGAAAAGAACGATTAATTTTGTCGAAACATTTTTCATAATCAATAAATATGGAGTACAGTTTTTTATCCGAATATATGACTTTTGAAATAATTGAGTGTAAAAGGAATATACAATCAACTGTGCTCTTACACTTTGGAAGCCAAATTGACTATTTACAAGTTTTTCGTTTTTTTTCAGTCCATATTGCTAGCCGATTAAGTAGAACCTGAGAATAAATCTTAGATAAAATATTGTTAAGTGTTATACCACGGTAATTGTTTGCTAGTTTTGGGTCACCCCCTTTAAATATTGGAAAAATATATCCTTCTCCCCAGATTTCCGGGTATTGTCCATTTTCAAATATTTATACACTGTATGAAGATTTAATAAGCTTTAAAATTATTTGTTTAATACAGCTTTATAAATTTCATTTTCAGATATCGGTGAATCTAAATCTTCATCCTGTATATTTTCAAATGTTTCATCATTAACAAAGTATGTTTCCTCAACATTTTCATCAAACTATGTAGGAAAATGTTCATGAAGATTTTCTATTCCTATATCATTATTTTTGGTGTTCTTTTTCAAACATTTTTTGATAGATTTCCAAAATTTTCGGGGATCGGTACATGCAATATTTTCAAGCTTTTTACCTTCTTGTAATGTATGCTTATATTTTGCCTTTGATTTAATCTTATTGTATTTAGTGCGCATTTTTACAAAATTATGTCTGTTTTCTTGATTATTGTTTTTAACAAATAAATTTCTAGCTTTTTTGAACTCCTTTTTTATGGAATAGAATTCGTCATCAAACCATTTTTGTTTATTTAAATGATGTCTTATATTTACATTTGAAAAAGATATAATTTTACCGAATATTTCCATGGCATTTTTATATAAAATGTCAGTTAGACAAATAACCCGGATATTTACAGACATTGAACGACTATTATCAGTCTTTAACTTATTTACATCAGTCAAAATCGCGTTTTTAAAAACGCTAACCTTTTCCTCATCCCATATTATCTTTCTTTCATTATGCGTACATGAATCATTTGAAATCAAATAATTATCATTTATATATCTTTTACAATTGAAACTAAAACAAAGTGCAGCATGATCAGATAAATTTGACCATTCATCAACATAAAAACTGCTTAAAGTGTGTAAACTGTTATTATCTACAAGTAAATAATCCGTAACGCTAAGGCCACGGGACGAAGAACAAGAGGGCCATGATGGCCCTGAGGTCGCTCACCTGTATAAAGGAACCCGGAGCGGGGCCAGTTTAAACCCCAGGGCTTTTATTTGAACAAACTTGGAAGACACCCATTAGAAGATGTTTCACGATGTTAAGTTTTTACTACACACATATAATGAAAACAACGATCTACCCCCCCCCCTCCCCCCGGCACTGCCAATTTTAACCCAAGGGCTTTTATTTGAACAAACTTGGTAGACACCCATAAGAAGATGTTTCATGCTAAACATCTAAGCTCTAGCTCATTGGGTTTTTTTAAAAGAAGATTTTTTAAGTTTTTACTATACACATATAGTTAAAACCAATGACCCCCCTGGGGCGGGGCCAGTTTTGACCCCAGGGCTTTTATTTGAACAAACTTTGTAGACACTTACTAGAAGATGTTTCATGCTTAATATCTAAACTCTAGCTATTTGGGTTTTTTCAAAGAAGATTTTTAAGTTTTTGCTACGAACAAATAAGGAAAATCAATAAGACCCGGGGCGGGGCCAATTTTGACTCCAGGGCTTTTATTTGAACAAACTTTGTAGACACTCACAAGAAGATGTTTCATGCTTAATATTTAAACTCCAGCTATTTGGGTTTTTCAAAGAAGATTTTCTAAGTTTTTGCTATATACATATAAATAAATCAATGATCCCCAGGGCGGGGCCAATTTTGACCCCAGGGCTTTAATTTGAACAAATTTGGTAGACACTCATTAGAAGATGTTTCATGCTAAATATCTTAGCTTTAGCTCTTTGGGTTCTTTAAAAGAAGATTTTTTAAGTTTTTACTATATGCATACAAGGAAAATCAAAGAGCCCCTGGGGCGGGGCTAATTTTGACCACAGGGCTTTTATTTGAACAAACTTGGTAGACACTCACTAGAAGATGTTTCGTGCTTAATATCTAATCTCTAGCTGTTTGGGTTTTATCAAAGAAGATTTTTTAAGTTTTTGATATACACATATAAGGAAAATCAATGACCCGAGGGGCGGGGCCAATTTTGACCCCAGGGCTTTTATTTGAACAAACTTGGTAGACACCCATTACAACATGTTTCATGCTAAATATCTTAGCTCTAGCTCTTTGAGTTCTTTAAAAGAAGATTTTTAGGTTTTTACTATATGCATATAGGGAAATTCAATGACCCCCTGGGGCGGGGCCAATTTTGACCCCAGGGCTTTTATTTGAACAAACTTGGTAGACACTCATTAGAAGATGTTTCATGCAAAATATCTAAGCTCTAGCTCTTAGGGTTTTTTAAAAGAAGATATTTAAAGTTTTTTGAGTTCTGCATGGAATTAAATTCTTTGAACAATTTTTAAAGGTGACCACCAAAGGAACATTCCCGTGAAGTTTGGATGAAATTGGCCTAGTGGTTTATGAGGAGATGTCATTTAAAGTAAAAGTTTACGGACGGACGGACGACGGACGGACGCCGGACAAAAAGCGATCACAAAAGCTCACCCTGTCACTTTGTGACAGGTGAGCTAAAAAGTGTATCCCTGCGAATTAAATATCCGGTCGTTTGCGATTAAATGATTGGTCGATTTGCAAAGTGAAATTAGTCTCTGACCGTTTGTATCAATTGCACTGTCGGCATTATAGCGAATCGGAATATATTGGCTTGATAATAATAAATCAATATCTATGTGATCATGATCTATGTATTTGTCAAAATTTAAAATGTCAATTAAATTTCCAGTTCTGCTATTTAAATCCCCTGTTACGTATGTTTGCCAATCTGATTATATTTTTCTATCCCTTTTTCAATTTCCTCATAAAAATCAAAATCTTTATCGTAAAAAATCTTTGAACAAATAGGTGGAATGTAAACAAGACAAAAATAATCAGTAAACTTGTTTGACATACCTTAGTTGTTACGCCTGGATTGGATTATATTGAGTGATTATTGAGATAGCTCAATATCATATTTGCACGATAGACTTTGAGAGAATATTTGTTGAAAGTAGCATATTTTGAAATTCATATTTTAGAAATTATGTCAAAACCAAAAAGGCAATTTCAAATAATAATATCATTTATTAGAGCTAGCAGACACGTAAACAATAATAAGTCAGTTACACAATTGAAATTATATATCAAACACGAATGTTATGCGGGACTACACATAAACACTTAATAACATCAATGAAAGTAAATGTTATTTAACAAGTCGAAGATAGAGTGATCTATTCATGAATAACACAGAATGAATAGGAACAAAACCGCCAACTCCCGGCCAAACATAAAACAGAACAAAATTATATATAAAATAGCATGGAAATACAAGCATCGGAATTGTAAGTAAACTCAAAGCTACCATCAAGAAGATTTACAAGAAATAAAAATAACATTTTACTCTGGTATATTCCTATTCGTTCTGTGTTATTCATGAATATATATATATATATATATATATATATATATATATATAATATATATATATATATATATCAAAGCACAGAAGGCGCTGGATTTGTTTGGGTCTCAGAATAACAGAAAGGTGTTCTTTTGTATAGTGCCACCCAATGCTACTTCCAGTGTTATAACTGTAGTAAATTGGCTAGGCTAATTAGAAAACAGCCTGAAGAAAACCATATTATTCTTAATTCGGGTTTGTAATCTTTATTAATTTCGAGATATTTTGTTCACGGTAAACCTGTTGTTTAATACTAATGTAAATAATCATGATGTTTTAATATCAGAATTACACAATATTAGAAATCTTCGACCAATCGGGAACTATTTTTTCTTCCCCGAGAAGGCTTGAAAATTAATGAGCCTGTCATTTGACAAACTTTACGCAGTGATCTCCCGGTTAGTGTACTTATAAAGGGAAGTAACCGCTTCGAGGAGTTCGGACTACTTGCGGATTTTGCAAATAAACATATCAGGGTCTGTAATCCCGCTACCATTATTTGTTTTGTCTGATGACCCAAACAAATAAAAACTATTAAAAAATTAAATAACCTTGTATATTCATTTAACAAGAAAACATAATTTAAGTATTCAGAATTAATTTTACGTAATTCCTCGCAATTAAAGTGGTAATGGCGTTCCAAATTTAAAAAAAAAACTGTCAAAAACAACTTGTTATGAATACACATTTTAAGCTGTTTTCGAATGTTTTACTAAGACAGGGGGTAATCGGAGGTGTAATTTAGATTAGTTTAACTGTTTTCCGTTAATAATATTATAGTACAGACTTCCATTCTTCCTTTGTGATATTTCTAAAATGTTGCACACTTAAATTGCGTCATATAAAATCACATTGTTTAGTAAAATCTATAAAAAAATCATAATTACACATGAAAAATACGTTTCTCCAGGCTTTTAAAGAATTAAATCGCAAATGATTCTACTAGAAGTCATGAAAAAGAATTATTTACAATTCTTTACATCATTTTTGCGAATATTGAATTACATGTACTTCGTATTTCCTTTACAACTGTTTGCAATTCAGTAATCTTCGGCCAAAAAACTTTGCAAAAAGAAATCACTTTTTGTAAATTGTATCCAAACAGTTGTTCAAATAATGCATGGGCAAATGTTATTTCTCTTCGTAACATGAGCAACATCTGCCCATTCGGGTCCTTGGGAATTGCCAGGCACCTTTCATTTTGATTGCAAGTTTGTTAAAGTATTTGCTTTACATTACTTAATTGGGTATATATCCTTCTTTTGCAAACTTTAAAAGTCTAAATGCTTCTACTCCATTCATGCCAAAGTCTTCTCGTAACATCTTCTCAGAGAGACCTATCAGTATCATACCATCAATCATATTGTTTCTAAACGTCTCAGCATATTGACCAAGGTTAAGAACTTTTAGGTATTCAGTCACTTCATGAATAGAAAGACTTTCAACATTCATAACTGTATCCTTAGTGTGTCTGTACTCAAAAGGTCTAATAGTTCGACCTGGTATCGCTATTTGTGGTGCTTCCTTCGAATGTCGTACATGACTTCGGGGTTTTGGTTTTAACGTTGCTCTAGGAATATCGTTGTCGTATTGTGGGTTACTTTCTGTTTTCCGGATAGACGAATGTTTTGCGTTAAAACTCTCATTTTCATTAGAATAATCTGTTGTTTGCTTCGGTGTGTTTTGGGCGGATTTAGGAAAAATAAATCTTGGTGCTGGAGCAGGTGGTTTGGGATTAGCTGACTTACATTCTTCACTTTCTTCTCTCTGATCATAATCCGGTTCAGGTGATGATGATCTTTTAGGTAAATCAAAATAAGAAGATTTCTTTTCATCACCTTCTGTTTGGTGTTCAGGCGTGATGTACATATTGCTCACTCTTTCGGATAGTTCTGTTGTATCCGATTGGTTCGATTTATGCTGTTTGTTTTTTGGAATATCTTCAGGGAGAGGTGGTAAAGGCCTTGCTTGAATGGCAACTTTAGTATTTGTGTCTGGCTTCCTATTGCTTCTCAGCGGGACACAAGGATGTGGTGTAACTTTAAAAGGCGGACCTTCAACTAAGCGTACTATATCAGAATACAATTTAGGTTCACAGTATGGCATCTCTGTGGTAGAATGTATAGACGACTGGTCATATTCAGCAATATCTGCAAAAATAAAAATATGATGAAATTATATTTTACATTTGTATCAGATAAGAAAATATTGAAGAAACCGACATTTGCATTTACATTTAGTCTTGAACCTATATAATTTGTCTAAAGGTTAAATGATTTTATTATATACCTAAAAGATTTCTCCCTAAAATAAACGCAAATCTTGAAGCGCAAATTCAACGGATAGAAACTTCCGTATTATGTAAGTGACAAATACGGTACCATATATGGAAATGTCGGACTATTTTTGACGTTGATTCCGATCTTAGCTTTGTATAACGTTGCATTTAGAAATGGGAACCAGAATTGTTAAAGCCGTGGCCGGTTTGCAAAATTTTAGTAATCATCCGTCAGTCATGAATTTATTTCTTGACAACTACATTTCATTTGCTGCTTAAAACGAAAAGGTATATCATAAAAGAAAAATTATGGTGATGTAGCTTTCTGAGGCTATGTATTTTTCTACTCGCAGCGTTGGAAAATTGACATATCGCTCGACCTTCGGTCTTGCGAGATACGCTGCTCGTAGCAAAATACAAAGCCTCAAAAAGCTACTGCAACATAATATTCCGTATGTATTTTAGGTACTGTCACAAAAGAAAATTAATCAAACACTCTACTGCCGATATTTACAAATAAAATAATTTCTTTTGATTTTTAAAATAAAATCAATTCTATTTCAGGTAATTTCAGCCTTGATTAGATCTATATATAACTTTCTTAATAAATTCTTGAAATTGAATTGAATTGAGATGAATGAAATACATTTATCGTACCGACTAGACAAATAAACTTTGTTACAAACAGGTTGTTTTTCTGACCACATATCTTCATATCTTTCATTGGATGGCAACTATTTAACAATTATAGGTTAGAAAATTGAGGTAAAGTACAACTAAATAAACATGTTCTGAAGAAACTTATAAGTAACTAGAATACGCACTAGGATTTCCAAAGTGCTGATCATATTCAATAGCCGAGCATTTGTAAACCAAATGGTCGAAGTATACCCTCCATCTATCAACAGACTGTCCTTTGAGTCCTGTGACAACCGATAGGCTAAGCTTGGACAGGTATAAAGGCACAGGAATCACTTCTGTCCATAGTTGACCTACAAATATATTTATATATATAAACTTGAAAAAAAAATGCACATAGGTTTTTGTTTCGTTATGTATCTAATATATAACGACGCACACACACGCACTCACAGTATTGTCCGGTAGATTAATTTATTATGACTTATTCATATTCATTTGCATAGGACTTCCTAGTGGTACATATGAACAAAAAGGGGTAAATATACTAGATGCGGCGCCTGCTTTTATGGTATTTTACGAGTAAGATCAAAGTGTGTGTCTTCAAAGTGAAAGAAAATATTTAATGTCCATTGCCACATCTGTTGGTATTTTCATAGGATTCCTTGTCAAAATATTGATATCAGTTCATTTAAAACTTAAAACTCCTACCGTCTACGATAGTATTTGCAAGGAAATAGACTTCGTCAAAACGTTTTGTGAGCTGCCAAGGAGGAATGTCGTTTGTATTGATGCTCTTGTTACAAACTGTAAGCACACGGTCAGCTGGGAACTGTACCCATAATGGCAAGCTGTTAGATCGTAGTATGTTGTAAAGTGAAGACTCTTCTCCGACTAAATTAAGAATATGAATAAACTCATATATGAAACAATGCGTAAATATGATAGGGGTTGTGTTTCTCTATAGACTCGTGTTAAAGTAGTTAATACAAATGTAATGAAGTAACCTTGTTGCGAGCTAAATGATGCTCTAATGTTCCGAAAGACTTTATGAAATGACTGAAAATTAGTAAACATAACTTATATGTTGCAAGAATTCGCCTTAAACTACCGCTCTTCACCGGCAAATTATATAACCCATGTGCTATAAAAAAGGATCTAAAAGATAGCTTCGTGATGATATATTTAAAAGAATCGATAAATACTAAAACAAAGTCTGATATTGACTGCAGTGATTACCAGTTTTCAATGAAAAATTCTGTGTCCACAATTATCACTTAACTAAAGTATTTGTTTTTAATGCAGTGTTTTACCTATCCCACTTTTAATTATGCATAAATTTTCAGTGTAGTCTTCGGGGATACTCAACAATTTTGGTATACCATGCATTACACACTTTGCCAACACACGCTCCTGTCTTGATATTCCATTGATAATCATCACCTATTTTAAATGAAAAAAATATAAATTCGGATGAGAGGTATATAATGTGGCTTTATTTATAGGGAGTAATGTAATGTGGCTATGTTTATAGAGAGTTATGTAATGAGGCTAAGGTTTATAGAGAATAATGTAATTCGGTTATGTTTATAGAGAGTAATGTAATGAAGCTAAGGTTTATAGAGAGTAATGTAATGTAGCTAAGGTTTATAGAGAGTAATGTAATGAAGCTAAGGTTTATAGAGAGTAATGTAATGTACAAGTAAAACGTCATTATAAGCATCAGTATTGTAAACATTCTTTGTTTTACTCCTCAAACAAAAAAGTATATGTATATATATGTGCATGTGTTATGTAAAGATTCCATTTAACTATATCAATAAGCAAATTTAATAAATGGATTGTGAAAAGGAATATTGATTGAAAACATAATTGACCTTATTCTGTTGCAAAGTTGGTCTTTAAAGACATTAACAATAGCTTAAACTGTACTATTTTAGATACTAGGGTCAATAATGCCGAAGACACTTAGAAATTAAAATATAGCAACACGAGGAAACCAGCTATTTTTAGTATAGAAAATCTAGAATAGAAAATATCCCGAATTTTTAACGGGAAATAAAAAAGAACGGGAAGGTATAAATCACCCTTATGGCTGAGGGGGTGCTTTTTAGTGTTAAGGCATCAAAATTACAGCCACCGTTTATCTTTGCGTCACCGTAAGAGACGGCTAAATGGATTCGAATAACATGAGTTTGTACATCTCTAAGATCCAGGAGGTAAGATGAGGTGGTTTTAACCCCATGTGCGGCTTTATGTTTGTTACACCCGGGGATAAGTCTAAATAATCTTGCCTGTTTCGACACCATATGACTTAAATTGTGTTGGTTTGCCTTAAAACCAAATAATACAAACAACAGAAGGAGAAAAGTTTGACCCGGTTTTTATTTAGACTTTTCAAGAGGGACAAAGAAAAGTGTAACATCGTTATGATTCTAGCAAGTTTTAGCGGTATTTAATCTTTTACATTTATTTTATAGTCCCAAATAATCCCTTTGGAAGAAATTTTTTGCAAATAGATAAAAAATGAAATCACTAAAGAACGCCCAAAACGACAAAATTGAAAATGTTGCAGGCTCGCTTTATGATAAGTTACCCCGCGCTCCCTAGCACCGACTTAATCAAAATTCAACATTTAAACATTGTAATGATTAAAATTTAAATTTAGAAACACCAGCATATGTGTTCATACGGCGGTTATCATGGAACCTTCAATGTCACACGTTAGTAACCCTTTGTTCTCCATTCTTATCCTATTTTTAAATAATATAGAAGGAATAAATTATAAGGTGATTTAAAGTTAAGGATTAAAAAGAAATTAATTGACAAGATACCTGTTCTCGATCGAATGTGTCCTCGATAATGTTTCCACAGAAACCTTGTGTTACCATAACAACCACGGGGAGTCTGTTTTGGTACAAGTCAAAGAATCTTCCAATGCTAAAACTTACATCTTCGATTTGATACTGCATTTTGGCGTGTAATATTTACATATATTCCATTTATACTATTTCAATTACTCAAATTAACACGGTTATATATCGGTATCAATACTTTCTTAATTCAAATTCAATCTGACATTATTTCAATATAAATGTATAAGATATAATCATGTATTTCTGTCTGTTATCGTTTGTGTGTGATTAGACACTCGGCACATATTTGCAAGTTTTATCTATGTCAAAAATAGTCTGATAAAAAGGCGTTTACGAAACTTATTTCATGAAAATAGATCTAATATCTCGATGGCTGAACGCAACACTGGTCTAACTTGATTTTTACAAAATTTCAAGGAGGCTATAAAAACTTCATTAATTCTATAAATTGGACATTTTTGTTATTTTTTTTAGATTTTTATATCCATATAAGTTAAAATTTTAGTTAAAAGGAGTTTCAAAAATTAATATTGGTAAATAAAAAAGATATTTGAAAAAATATGAGTTAGATCAGTTTTCCATCTATAAATCACCAAATTTCAATGATAAATTTTCTGCAAAACTGGTCTAACTTGACTTAGCCCTATGTTGCATTTACAAAATGGGTTCAATGAGGCCAAAAGAATAATCAATAAGTGCTATGTTTGAAAAAATAGGATAATATAATGGAAAAAAGCTATAACTTTAACCATATTTTGGTATGTTTTTAAAAGAAAACAACTATTCTACGGAACCGACATTTTAATTTATACAAAATTGACAATTATTAATTTTGCATAACATACTAGAAATCTTAAAAGTCAGTTGTTTTTATCACATAAAATTATTTAAAAAAAATCTAATTATAAAGTTTCAGTTCGGAATGAAAGTTTTGTAGACAAGATAAGATTTTTTTTATATAAAGCATTATTCAATGAAACATTAAAATTGAAGCAAATGTTCATAACTGAAAAATAGAAGCATGCATATAAAACTTGCAACTCTAAAAACACAGGCAATTTGATTCAAAACTAACATTATTTTTGCCTATTGAATCTTCATTTATATTTTCAAGTTTATTTATGTAGTCAGAATTTCAAGTAAAATGTTATTTTTAGGAACAGTTTGCATAAACTAAACTCCAAGTTGCCAGAGAAAAAACTTTTGCCTCTCTTTGTAATTTAACTTGGCATGGCACTTGTATCTATTGCTTTGTCAACCTTCCTTTGTCATCATCCATTATACTCAATTTTTTGTCAGATTTTTAAACATAATTTTTTCCCATATTCCTATTACAGTAATTCATTTCATTTCTCTTTTATCTATCATTATTCTTACTTTTTTTATCTAATATTTTTCCCATTTAATAACTATTTTCTATATTACATAAGCCATCATTTTAACCATTCTCCACTTGCCAGCACTCATCACCAGCATAATGATATCAAAAACCCTAATTTCACCTTCAAAATGATTAACAGCATTTTTATCACCATCATCATCCTCCGCTCTTATATATAAGCATTGTCTCCACTAGCCCTAATTAATCAACATTGCTATTCTGAGTACTCATCTCACCACTATTATCTTCCTCACCACCCATATAAGCAGCATTGCCACCAAATTAGACCTTATTACATCAGTTTTGTCATCAATCACACTTTTATCACCAGCATTGTCATCCTCAGCACTTACATAACCAGTATAGTCCCCACTTACTATAATATTACCAATTTTGTCCCCACTACCCTTATAATACCAACATTGTCCTCGCTATAAACTATAATATCACCAGCATTGTCCCACTAACACTTATAATACCAACATTGTCCCTACTTACTATAATATCACCAGCATTGTCCCCACTAACCCTTATAATACCAACATTGTCCCCATTAACTATAATATCACCAGCATATTCCCCACTTACTATAATATTACCAATATTGTCCCCATTAACCCTCATATCACCAGCAGTGTCCTCACTATAAACTATAATATCACCAGTATTGTCCCCATTAACCCTTATAATACCAGCATTGTCCCTACTTACTATAATATCACCACCAATGTCCCCACTAACTATAATATCACTAGCATTGTCCCCACTAACTATAATATCACTAGCATTGTCCCTACTTACTATAATATCACCAGCCATCCTACTAACTATACTATTACTAACACTGTCCCAACTAACTTTAATATCACCAGCAATGTCCCCACCAACTATAATATCACTAACATTGTCCCCACTAACACCCATATTACCAGCATTGTCTCCACTAACTATAATATCACCAGCAATATCCCCACTAACTATAATATCACTAACATTGTCCCAACTAACCCTCATATCACCAGCATTGTCCCCATTTACTATGATATCACCAGCATTGTCCCCATTTACTATGATATCACCAGCATTGTCCCCATTTACTTTATCACCAGTATTGTCCCAGCATTGATTTCGCAAGCATTGTCTCCATTATGACCCTCTTTGTCAGCATTGGCCCCACTAAATATTATTTATCACCAGCATTGTCCCCCACTTCTTTCTTAAAAATTTCTTTTCTTGTTGGGTTTATAATGTCGCACTTACAGGCCAGTAGTCTCAGGTCGTATGACAATACTCCAGCTTTACCAGTGGATGAAGACCTCAAGTACCCAAGTTCTGTTGCTTCAAGTTTGTAACATCCGAGGTTAGCTTATAAGGAATTTACTTAGCCTATAAGGAATTTACACCGGCTGCTGGTACAGACAATAATATCTAACTTTAGGGTAATTTTTTATGGCAGTAAAGAGACACAAGTTACCATTACACAGTTACCTGAGAGATGGATATTCCTGTCTATGACAACAGCTTGTGTTTGATTTTGTTTCTTGCAGATTACATATCAGTGATATTTCGTAAAGAAATAACGACAACTAATACTTTCATTTAGCACTTTTCTCTTATAGTAGCATATGACATTAGGCAAAATGACGTCATCATTAGAACACAATTCATTCATAAAAGGCGCTTGAGAATGACATCATTTAAAAACATTGACTTGTCTTACATGGGAGATGTAAGACAGGTTTTTCTAGCACCGGTGAAAACAGTAGATAATCCTATCTGATATGCAAGAAAAAATCTTTCCTGTTTCAGCAAAATATGACCTCAATTGTGTTGGTGTGCCAAACCAAACCAAACCAAAAATTTTATTCAAATGATTACAAGCCTTATACATACAGATACTTAAAGAAACTTCACTGAGCTTCAAGGCATAAAAACTTAAGATTTGAATTTCTGAAATGAATCAACTCGGGCCACATAAACAAAAAGATACACAAGAGATATAAAGAAAGAAATTATACTTAACATGAAGTTGAAAATTTTATAATGGTTCTATTAGTATCTAATTTGAGTTTAAAGCTGCATTAATATGCTTTTCAATATCCGGTCATTTTTATAGTTAACATAACTGCTCTGAAAAAAAACTTAGCAAATGATCTGGAAGTTTAAGCAAAGTTATTTGCCCAGACTTTCATCAAATTGAACATAAATCTCAACTCCCATGATGCCAAGATAGGAGTCCCTTTAAGAAGAAGTAAATTGTATTAAATAATTATAAAATCTTGAAATTTTTAGAGGGTGGGAGATCTTGTTTCATAAGTATTAATAGATCACGATGATTTAAAAAAAAAAACAAGAACAACAAAAAACAACACAAATTGTATTGTAAATAATTTTCATCAACACATCAATTTTCATCAATTAAATGATTTAAATATTATAATAAATCTTTTTGAAAGGTTAAATAAATTTGCTTTTATTTTTTATTTTTTTATTTCAATCTTATATGACTATGTAGAGATAATATAGCAATTTTAAACTTATAACTGTTCCTTGAAAACAAAATAGAATTAATTAAGAGCCTTGGATTTACAATTCTGCAATTTTGGCAACAAAAATGGGTAAAATGTAGAAATAAGTATTTAAGAATATGCCAGACCTAACTTAATACCTGCAAATATAACAATACTGATTTTTATTGTATTGAAATTTAACAGCAACACTGTGCTAACTGGAGTTAGTACAGTGTTATCATCCAATAAGTAAATTTTGATTAATGCAACACAGTTCTAACTTGAGTTAGCTCTCTGTTGCATTTAAGTTATACTCACATTTGAGATAGAGCAAAATGCCAAGTGGTAAATAAAACCCATAAAATTTCACAATTATTTCTAATATTTTATTTACTGATGTATTTCATGCAATTAGGCTAAAAAATGCAAAAAAAGTCATTTTTGAAAAAAAATCAAGTTAGACCAGTATTGCGTTCAGCCATCGATCTATTTGTTGCTGATTTAAACTATAACTTGTCGGTAAGTGGTATTTTAAACAAAAAAGTTTGTGTTTAATTGAATCTGGCTTTTAAAGCTTCTTATCAAAAATCTAATAAACCGACATTCATTTATACTTTAAAGATGTCCACATTGTCAAAGTATCTTTACAAATGAATTTGACTGAAATCTATAAATGTTCGAATGAGCATTAAATTTTATAGTTTACACAATATATAATAGAAGTTGATTATGAAATAAGGTGACTTAAACTATATATTTCTTACAGATAATAGAATTTAAATCAATGTAAAATAAATTGAGAATAAAGTATCAACTTCCTTGATCAGATATGGATATAAAGATAACTTAAACTGGGACATACATATGGATCTACTCTTTCATTAGTTGATAAGCTCTTGAAATGTTTAAAATGGTTTTAAGTGCTAACATCGTAAAAACAATGTTATCTATTGTGAATCCTAGAAACACAAAAATGTAACTGATATCACATTGAATGATATTTTTTTTTTCAATAAAGAAAAAAAAGAATAGACACATGATAAGAATATGGTAATGTAGGTTGTAATACAATGCAAAAGAGTTACAAAGAAAAAACACCACATAAAACATATATGAGCCGCGTCACGACAAAACCAACATAATGGGTTTGCGACAAGCATGGATCCAAATCAGCCTGCGCGTCCGCGCAGTCTGATCAGGATCCATTTTGTTCGCTGTCAGTTTCTTTACTTGTTATAGGGTTTGTAAGCGAACATCATGGATCCTGATCAGGCTGTGCGGATGCGCAGGCTGGTCTGGATCCATGCTGGTCGTAAACGCATTACGTTGTTTTGTCGTGATCCGGCTCATATATGTAGACATCAACTGAGTTTTGT